CTTAAAAAGGTCAATCTTAGGGGACAAGAATGAAAACTTTGAAATAGTTATAGGAGTACATATTAATGATGCAAAGACAGAAAGTATATATTGAAAGACAAAAGAGTTATAAAAATACTTAATTTATCATATTTTGTATGACCTTGACCTTTGACCTTTGCAAAAGTCAAAAGTTAATGAATCTTATAAAGTTGGTTCTATGTCTCTATGCTTCTCGTTTTGAAAATTTTTAATTATTTGTAAAATTCAAAAACTTTCAGGGGCAATAACTTGTTAAAAGTATCAATGAATACTTTCGCAATGTATCATTGAAGTGTTTACTAAATTAGTTGAAGACATTAGTGAAGGTTTCATTTCTCTACAGTTTACGGTTTAAGAGGAGAAGAGATAACAAGGTTTATCACACAAGGGTCAATAACTCTTAAAAAGGGTCAATCTTAGGGGACAAGAACGAAAACTTTGAAATAGTTTTAGGAGTATATATTAATGATGCAAAGACAGATTGTATATGTTAAAAGACAAAAGAGATATAAAAAGAGCTAAATTTCTCATTTCTGGAATGTCCTTGACCTTTGCATAAATTCTAAGGTCAAAGATTAATGAATCTTATGCAGTTGGTCGCATGTCTCTACCACTTCTAGTTTTGAAAATTTTTAATTATTTGTAAAATTCAAAAACTTTCAGGGGCAATAACTCCTTTAAAAAGTCACCGAATACTTTCACAATAAATCACTGAAGTGTCTACTAAATTAGTTGAAGACATTAGTAAAGGTTTCATTTCGTTATGGTTTATGGTTTAAGAGGAGTAGTGATAACAAAGTTTATCACACTAGGGTTAATAACTCTTAAAAAGGTCAATCTTAGGGGACAAGAATGAAAACTTTGAAATAGTTATAGGAGTACATATTAATGATGCAAAGACAGAAAGTTTATATTGAAAGACAAAAGAGATATAAAAATAGCTTAATTAATCATGTTTTGAATGACCTTGACCTTTGACCTTTGCATTCTTTTATATGGTCAAAGATTAATGGATCTTATGCAGATTGTCCCATGTCTCTACCACTTCTCGTTTTGAAAATTTTTAATTATTTGTAAAATTCAAAAACTTTCAGGGGCTATAACTCCTTTAAAGGGTCACCGAATACTTTCACAATAAGTCATTGAAGTGTCTACTAAATAAGTTGAAGACATTTGTAAAGGTTTCATTTCTCTAAGGTTTACGGTTTTGGAGGAGAAGTGATAACAAGGTTTATCGCACAAGGGGCAATAAATTTTGAGAGGGTCAATCTTCGGGAACAAGAATGAAATATTTGAAATAGTTTTAAGAGTGCATATTAAAAATGCAAAGACATAAAGTATATGTTGAAAGACAAAAGAGATATAAAAAGAGCTTTATTTCTCATTTCTGGAATGACTTTGACCTTTGACCTTTACATAAATTTCAATATCTAAGGTCATGAATCTTATGCAGTTGGCCCCATGTCTCTACGACCTCTCGTTTTGAAAATTTTTAATTATTTGTAAAATTCAAAAAGTTTCAGGGGCAATAACTCATTGAAGGGTCAACGAATACTTTCGCAATGAATCAATGAAGTGTCTACTAAATTAGTTGAAGACAATAGTAAAGGTTTCATTTCTCTGCAGTTTACGATTTTAGAGGAGTAGCGATAACAAGCTTTTTTGCAAAAGGGATAATAACTCCGAAAGGGGTCATAGTCCATATACGCAGGGTCAACTGCGAAAATCTTTTACGAAGTGCGTTCTTATGAACTTTAAAAAATCTTTTCGATAAATCTTGAAACTCAAAATCACACGGCGGAAAAATAATAAAAAATAAACTAGGAGACTTATTGTTCACAGAACAATAAGAGGTCTTTCCACCTTCTTTGAATTTCAAATTTGTTTCATATCTGACTCCTAAAAATTAAATTCCATGAAAAAGAAACGAAAACTCTCTTAAACCATAGAAAAAATGAAAATTAAAAAAAAAAAAAGAATGACCTTGACCTTTGATCTTGAAAAATATTCAAGGTCAAGGGTCACAGTGCAATTGAACGCATGCTTCTATGACTTCAAGTTTTCAAGTTATAAGGTTTAAAAGTAAGTACAAAGAAGTAAAGGGCAATAACTCATATAAGGGGTCATCAGATGCTTTTGCACTTTTACATTGAAGTTAGGCCTAAAGATATAAAGACCCTGAGGACATTAGTGAAGGTTTGGTGTCTCTACGGTCTACGGTTTCGGAGGAGTAGCGATAACAAGGTTTTTCGCACAAGGGGAAATAACTTTTAAAGGGGTTAATGTTAGGGGACAAGAAGGAAATCTTTGAAACAGTTTTAAGAGTACATACTAATGATGCATACACATTACGTATATGTTGAAAGACAAAAGAGATATAAAAAGAGCTAAATTTCTCATTTCTGGAATGACCTTGACCTTTGACCTCTACATGAATTTTAAGGTCAAAGGTCAATGAATCTTATGCAGTTGGTCCCATGTCTCTACGACTTGTCATTTAAAAAAAATTAATTATTTGTTAGATTCAAAAAGTTTCAGGGGCAATAACTCATTGAAGGGGTTACCGAATGCTTTCGCAATGAATAGATTGAAGAGTCCCCTTAATTAGTTGAAGACATTGGTGAAGGTTTCATACCTCTATGGTTTACGGTTTCAGAGGAGTAGCGATAACAAGCATTTCTTTTGAAAGGGGCAATAACCTTGAAAGTGGTCAAGGTTCATTTACCCAGGATGAACTGCAATAATCTTTTACGGAGTACATTCTTATGGACTATAAATCTTTTCGATAAATCTTAAAACAAAAAAACACATGGCGGAAAAATAATAAAAAAGAAGAAACAGAAGGAAATCAATAGAGGTGGAAAGACCTAACTAGGAGACTTATTGTTCACAAAACAATAAGAGGTCTTTCCACCTTCTATGAATTTCAAATTTGTTTTATATCTGACTCCTAAAATTTAAATTCCATGAAAAAGATACCAAAAATCTCTTAAAGCAGAGAAAAAAAAGAAAAAAAAAGAAAGAATGACGTTGACCTTTGACCTTGAAAAATTTTCAAGGTCAAAGGTCACAATGTATTTGACCACATGCTTCTACGACATATAATTTTCAAATTATAAGGTTTAATAGTAAGTACAAAGAAGTTAAAGAGCAATAACTCATATAAGGGGTCATCAGATCCTTTTGCACTTACACAGTGAAGTTAGGACTAAAGACCCTTAAGACATTAGTGAAGGTTTGGTGTCTCTATGGTCTACGGTTTTGGAGGAGTAGCGATAACAAGGTTTTTCGCACAAGGGGCAATAACTTTTAAAGGGGTTAATGTTAGGGGACAAGAATAAGATCTTTAAAGCAGTTTTAAGAGTACAAATTAATGATGCACAGACATAATGTATATGTTGAAAGACAAAAGAGATATAAAAAGAGCTAAATTTCTCAGTTTTGGAATGACCTTGACCTTTGACCTTTATGTAAATGTCAAGACCAAAGGTCATTGAATCTTATTCAGTTGGTCGCATGTCTCTCTGACTTCTCATTTTGAAAATTTTTAATTATTTGTAAAATTCAAAAACTTTCAGGGGCAATAACTCATTGAAGGGTTCAATGAATACTTTCGAAATATATCAATGAAGTGTGTACTAAATTAGTTGAAGAGATTAATGAAGGTTTCATTTCTCTACGGTTTACGGTTTCGAAGAATTAGCAATAACAAGCTTTTTTGCGAAAGGGGTAATAACTCCGAAAGGGGTCAAAGTTTATTTACGCAGGGTCAACTGCAAAATTCTTTTACGGAGTACATGCACATTCTTATGAAATAAAAATCTTTTCGATAAATCTTGAAACTCAAAATCACACTGCGGAAAAATAACAAGGAGACTTATTGTTCACAGAACAATAAGAGGTCTTTCCACCTTCTTTGAATTTCAAATTTGTTTTATATCTGACTCCTAAAAATTAAATTCCATTAAAAATAAAACCAAAACTCTCTGAAAGCATGGAAAAAAATGAAAATTAAAAAAAAAATGAATGACCTTGACCTTTGACATTGAGAAAATATTCAAGGTCAAAGGTCAAGGGTCACAATGTAATTGACCCCATGCTACTACGTCTTATAGTTTTCAAGTTTTAAGGTTTAATAGTAAGTACAAAGAAGTAAAAGGGCAATAACTGATATAAGGGGTCATCAGATCCTTTTGCACTTATACAGTGAAGTTAGGCCTTAAGACCCTTAAGACATTAGTGAATGTTTGGTGTCTCTACGGTCTACGGTTTCTGAGGAGTAGCGATAAAAAGGTTTTTTGCACAAGGGGCAATAACTTTTAAAAGGGTCAATGTTAGGGGACAAGATTGAAATATTTGAAACAGTTTTAAGAGTACATATAAATGATCCTTAGACATTAAGTATACATTGAAGACAAAAGAGATATAAGAAGTGTTAAATTTCTCATTCTTGGAATGACCTTGACCTTTGACCTTAAATGAATTTAAAGGTCGAAGGTCAATGAATCTTATGCAGTTAGTCCCATGTCTCTATGACTTCTCGTTTTGAAAATTTTTAATTATTTGTAAAATTTCAAAAGTTCCAAGGGCAATAACTCATTGAAGGGGTCATCGAATGCTTTTGCAATGAATAGATTGAAGAGTCCCTTTAATTAGTTGAAGACATTGGTGAAGGTTTCATACCTCTATGGTTTACGGTTTCAGAGGAGTAGCGATAACAAGCATTTCTTGCGAAAGGGGTAATAACTCCAAAAGGGGTCCAGGTTCATTTACGCAGGGTCAACTGTAAAAATCTTTTACGGAGTACATTTTTATGAAATAATAATCTTTTCGATAAATCTTGAAACAAAAAATCACATGGCAGAAAAATAATAAACTAGTAGACTTATTGTTCAAAGAACAATAAGAGGTCTTTCCACCTTCTTTGAATTTCAATTTTGTTTTAAAATTTAATTCCATGAATAAGAAACTAAAATTTTCTTAACTCTTTAACTGCCACACTATCCTTATCAGATAGCCTGCTGCTGATAAGAACTCAGGCTGCGTTTCAGCGCTTGTTTACTAGCTCACTACCAGAGATAAATTCCAGCTGTGCTAAAATTAAGACACAGAGCTGTAGTAGACTTGTTTATTGATGATTATCTTTTTATCTATTCACATTTCTAAATAACATGTATAACATGAAATGTTGAGACAATATTCATCTATCAGATGCTATAATTTACAGTCAAAACATATTTAATTTATGATGAAATCAGCTGCTTTCTTACAGAAATTAATCTCAATGTTTCTCTAACTTTCACACTTTATTTATTTATTTATTTGGAATGCCATTTTTCAAAACAATTGTTGTCAATGCAGAGAAACACTGCACATTGTTTACATTGAATAAACACATCATGTCTTTTTTTGTCAATTGCACACTGTTTGCACCTGCCCCTCTTCTGATGTTTCACAGGCCAGTGTGCAAGGCCAGAAGGGTCAATGTTGGACTTGGATTTTCTTTTTCTTGAACCCCGGTATGTCCCTATAAGTTGCCGACTGAGCTGCATCCTAAAACTTAGTTGAGTCCTGGCCACTTCTCTTCCTTTTTTTGTTTTTATGACGTGATTCACAGACTCTTTCATGCAAATAAATGCGTTTACAACACAAATGTCAAAGAGAAACCATAGTAGATATTTCCACCATTTCTTAGACTTCCTACAGGTCGAATATTGCATCCGTAATTGGTCAGCTCGATCAACACCAAACATGAATTTGTTATATTGCTGACCAATAATTGGGCATGGCACATCCTTTTTGGATCCATCTTTTTGCTTTCTCTGTACTGTGATCTTTTCGTTTGGGTCACAATTAGTGGACAAATAAAAAACCATCTTTTTGTCCTTCCATGCTGTTGCACATAGCTCATTTTTCTGCATGATTTTATATTCCCCATGATTCTTTAATTTGCAGCTTTTAATGCCTTCTGGCATACCTTTTCGATTTCCTCGGACCGTCCCACAGCAGTACAAATCTTCTTTGAATAAGGACGAAAATAGCTTAGGAGAAGAGAAGAAATTGTCCATATAAATATGGTGTCCTTTGTTGATAATTTTTCTTGTTAAATCTTTGACAACCCGCTCTCCTAGACCTTCTTCTGTTTTTTCTCTGTCCACTTTTCCCGTGTAAATTTGAAACTCGTGACAATATCCGTTACGGGGAGACGCTCTTTCCCATACCTTTATACCAAATTTAGTTGGTTTAGCTGGCAGGTACTGTTTGAATGAAAGTCTGCCTTTGTAAGCAATCATTCCTTCATCTACACTTTGTTCACAGTGTGGTTGATAGTTTTCGACACATTTATTCAGTACATAATCCAAGACAGGTCTGATGTGACACAATTTGTCATGTCCAGGTGTTCTTCTAGGTGGGTTTTGTGTGACATCATTGCAATGTAGATATTTGCTAAGAAGTTCAAAACGACTCCTAGTCATTATATTAGGTATGGATGGACTTCCAAAAGGCCACTGTTGACTCCAGGCTAATGTATATGAAGGCAGTTGCACAATTGACAAATAAACATGAATGCCTAAGAATGCTTTCATTTCCTCCATTTCAACGTCTTTCCAGTTACGGTCGGGCTTTGTTTCTTGGCATTGTTCGGCATATTTATTTGTTTCTGTCACCAATAGTTTAATCATATCTTCAGAAAAAAATCTCATAAAGAAATCAAGTTCATTTTGTCCTGCATCGAGAGTAAAAGTTGCACCAACGGACTCAGAAAAAGTTTTGTTTACCGGTTTTCTCAGCACTGACCGCCATGCCAAATCCTCGTCATCACTTTCTTCCTCAGAACTGCTAGAATTTTCCGGTGAATTATCAGGCGTAGACAAAGGGGAAACAGATATATCACTTTCATTATCTTTGGTACCATCATCATTTAAATCTTCATCAAAAAAATCATAAGAGAGCTCCGAGAAATTATCACTATCTTCATCCGCCATTTTGATGTAAACATGCTTCTCCAAAAATACTCGATCGTGTTTACTCTCTGAAACAAAGGAATTCCCATCCCCATATTTGGAAAATAATGACGTAGTAAGTTAGGCCGAACATTTGTCTCAGTCAGTGTTATTGGTATTTTAGAATCACATGATCGTAAAAATATCCAATCATCACTTTTGTAACATCGGTAAATTGTCGCAAATGTGCGTCTTCAAGTATACATCGATACTAGGGGAAGTCGCTTATCTGCGCTACTGAGGATATAGGGCTTGCTTATCTCGCCGCATATAAGCGACTGTGAGGATAAGAGCTTCTAAAATTAGGACGCACATGTGCGTCTACGCATGGTAAAGAGTTAAAGGATATCAAAAATTTAAAAAAAAAAGAAAAAAAGAAAAGAAATGACCTTGACCTTTGACCCTGAAAAAATATTCAAGGTCAAAGGTCAAGGGTCACAATGCAATTAACCCCATGCTTCTACGACTTATAGTTTTCAAGTTATAAGGTTAACTAGGAAGTACAAAGAAGTTAAAGGGCAATAACTCATATAAGCGGTCATCAGATCCTTTTGCACTTATATACTGAAGTTAGGCCTTAAGACCCTTAAGACATTAGTGAAGGTTTAGTGTCTATACGGTCTACGGTTTCGAAGTAGTAGCATTAACAAGGTTTTCCGCACAAAGGGCGATAACTTTTAATAGGGTCAATCTTACGGAATACGAATTGAATCTTTTAAATAGCTTTAAGAGTACATATTAATGATGCTAAGACAGTTTCTTTATGTTAAGAGAAAAAAAAGATATAAAAAGAGCTTAATTTCTCAATTTTGGAATGACCTTGACCTTTGACCTTTACATGAATTTTAACCTCAAAGGTAAATAAATCTTATGCAGTTGGTCCCATGTCTCTATCACTTCTCGTTTTGAAAATTTTTAATTATTTTTAAAATTCAAAAAGTTTCAGGGGCAATAACTCATTGAAGAAGTCAACAAAGACTTTTGCAATGAATAGATTCCAGAATCCTCTCAATTAGTCGAAGACTTTAGTGAAGGTTTCATATTTGTACGGTTTATGGTTTCGCAGTAGTAGCGATAACAAGGTTTTCCGCACAAAGGGCGATAACTTTTAATAGAGTCAATCTTACGGAATACAAATTGAATCTTTCAAATAGTTTTAAGAGTACATATTAATGATGCTAAGCCAGTTTGTATATGTTAAAAGACAAAAAAGATATAAAAAAAGCTCAATTTCTCAATTTTGAAATGACCTTGACCTTTGACCTTTACATGAATTTTAACCTCAAAGCTCAATGAATCTTATGCAGTTGGTCCCATGTCTCTCTCACTTCTCGTTTTGAAAATTTTTAATAATTTCTAAAATTCAAAAAGTTTCAGGGGCAATAACTCATTGAAGGAGTCACCGAATACTTTCGCAATGAATAGATTCAAGAATCCTCTCAATTAATCGAAGACTTTAGTGAAGGTTTGGTGTCTATACAGTTTACGGTTTCGGAGGAGTAGCGATAACAAGCATTTCTTGCGTAAAGGGCAATAACTTCGAAAGGGGTCAAAGTTCAAACAAGGGCTGTCGTTTTTCAGAATAACTCTTGATATCCAGTTTCATGAACTATAAAGTTTTTCGATAAGTCTTGCGGTTTCAAAAGTCCGGGAAGAAGAAGAAGAATAATAATAAACATAAGCATTTCAAGAGGTCTTTCCACAGAAAGGTGGAAAGACCTAAAAAGAAGAAACAGAAGGAAATCAGTAGGTCTTTCCACAGAAAGGTGGAAAGACCTAAAAACTAGGAGACTCATTGTTCACAGAACAATAAGAGGTCTTTCCACCTTCTTTGAATTTCATATTTGATTTATATATAACTCTTAAAAATTAAATTCCATGAAAAAGAAATCAAAACTCTCTTAAACCATAAAAAAATGAAAATAAAAAAAGAATGACCTTGACCTTTGACCTTGAGAAAATATTCAAGGTCAAAGGTCAAGGGTCACAATGCAATTGACCCCATGCTTTTACCACTTATAGTTTTCAAATTATAAGGTTTAATAGTAAGTACAAAGAAGTTAGAGGGCAATAACTCCTGAGGGGTCATCAGATCCTTTTGCACTTATACAATGAAGTTAGGCCTAAAGACCCTTAAGACATTAGTGAAGGTTTGATGTCGAAATGGTCTACGGTTTCAGAGGAGTAGCGATAACAAGTTTTTTTCGCACAAGGGGCAATAACTTTTAACAGGGTTAATCCTAAGGGACAAGAATGAAATCTTTGAAATAGTTTTAAGAGTACATATTAATGATGCATAGACATTAAGTATATGTTTGAAGACAAAAAAGATATAAAAAGAGCTAAATTTCTCAGTTTTGGAATGATCTTGACCTTTGACCTTTACATGTATTTGAAGGTCAAAGGTCATTGAATCTTATGCAGTTGGTCCCATGTCTCTACGACTTCTTGTTTTGAAAATTTTTGATTATTTTTAAAATTCAAAAACTTCCAGGGGCAAGAACTCATTGAAGGGGTCAATAAATACTTTTCCAATTGATCAATGAAGTGTCTAGTAAATTAGTTGAAGACATTAGTGAAGGTTTCATTTCTCTACGGATTACGGTTTCGGAGGAGTAGCGATAACAAGCTCTTTTCCGAAAGGGGAAATAACTCCGAAAGAGGTCATAGTTCATATACGCAGGGTCAACTGCAAAAATCTTTTACGGAGTACATTCTTATGAACTTAAAATCTTTTCGATAAATCTTGAAACTCAAAATCACACGGCGGAAAAATAATAAAAAATACTAGGAGACTTATTGTTCACAGAACAATAAGAGGTCTTTCCACCTTCTATTAATTTCAAATTTGTTTTATATCTGACTCCTAAAAATTAAATTCCAAGAAAAAGATACCAAAAATCTCTTAAAGCAAAGAAAAAATGAAAATAAAAAAGATGAATGACCTTGGCTTTTGACCTTGAAAAATATTCAAGGTCAAAGGTCAAGGGTCACAATGTATTTGACCGCATGCTTCTACGATGTATAATTTTCAAATTATAAGGTTTAATAGTAAGTACAAAGAAGTTAAAGGGCAATAACTCATATAAAGGGTCATCAGATCCTTTTGCACTTATACAGTGAAGTTAGGACTAAAGACCCTTAAGACATTAGTGAAGGTTTGGTGTCTCTACGGTCTATGGTTTTTGAGGAGTAGCGATAACAAGGTTTTTTCGCACAAGGGGCAATAACTTTTAAAGGGGTTAATGTTAGGGGACAAGAATAAGATCTTTAAAGCAGTTTTAAGAGTACAAATTAATGATGCACAGACATAATGTATATGTTGAAAGACAAAAGAGATATAAAAAGAGCTAAAGAGCTAAATCCACGAATGTGCTAAATCGGCCTAGTGATTTTAGGAAAAATAAAGTGAGGGGAAGAAGAAAATTATTTACGGAAATATTATCCTTAGTTATCAAACTTGAATAGTTTACGCCAAAATTTTCATTTGATGACGTCATATTTGTGTAGAAAACGTCTAAACACGTGAACTTTGCCACTTTTTATCAAAATTTAGAATTTTTTCCGCCTTTGATTCAAATTTTTGCTGTGGCCACACCCTTTGAACAAAATAAAATTCACACCATTAAAAAGAAAATTAGAAAATGAACAAATAGAGTGTTATTTTATTTTGTTCGATGGGTGTGGCCACATCGAAATATTTAATTTTCGTTCGATTCAAATCTCTTCGCATCGACCACCAAAGTAGAAATAATGGGGGTTCACCCAAATTAATTAAAAAGAAACAAGATTATATGTTGCTTTTGTAAATTTTAATTAGTCTTTAAATGCAAATATACCATTTATTATATGTTATTTTGTGTTGTGGTGCAAAAAATGTACGAAAGTCTCTCGGAGTCTCTATAAGCATGACTGCATGAAGATGCAATAATGGTGACTCATTCCTAACCCAAGACTTTTTAGTCAAGCGCAGCTGATCTAGGTTTACATTATCATTGATTTTACTGAAATATTTTTAAAAAATGGATACTCTTTCCCCCAAATCTTATTTATTTTACAAA